GATCTGAGTTAGCAGCAGTAATTACAGCACTTCGCCAGTTTCCTAACCAGCCATTAAACATTATAACAGATAGCCTTTACGTTGCGGGGGTAGTAGAACACCTTCCGGGCAGCTACGTCTCTCCAAACCTAGATTCTAATCTTATGGCACTCTTCCTCTCTTTACAATTCCTCCTTAAAGAGAGGCGTACCCCCCTGTTCATTGCCCAAATCAGAAGCCACACTCCGTTCCCAGGAGAACTCACTGAAGGCAATCGGCAAGCAGATGCAGCCCTTCACTGCTTCCCCCTCACTCCCTATGAGAGCCATGCCTTTCATCATCAAAATGCTAAAGCCCTAGCCAGAGAATTCTCCCTCCCGCTTTCAGAAGCTCGCTTGATAGTGCAACAATGCCTGCAGTGCACTTTAGTTCACTCCTCCCCAGAGTTTGGTGTTAACCCTAGAGGCACCAAAGCAAACCAGCTTTGGCAAATGGATGTTACACATTTTTCCTCCTTTTCCCCCTGGAAATATCTTCATGTCACTGTTGATACATTCTCCGGTTACATTTGGGCAACCCCTCACAAGGGGGAACAAACCAAGCATGTTATCAATCACCTTCTTTGCACCTTTGCAGTCATGGGAGTCCCTACTGCACTAAAAACTGACAACGGCCCCTCTTATAGTAGTTCTGCATTCGCAGCATTCTGTTCCTCTTGGAATATCACCCACATCTTTGGAATTCCTTACAACTCCCAGGGGCAAGCGGTTGTGGAACGTTCCAACCGTACTCTAAAGGAACATCTGGCTAAACAAAAACAAAAGGGAGGAGTAATACCCCCCGGTCTCCCTGCACGCCAACAATGGCTCGCTCATGTATTGTTTACCATAAATCATTTGAATTTAATTTCTTTATCTGATTCTCCTTTTGTTACCAGGGTCCAGAAGCATTTCCAAACCTCTGTCCCCCTCCCCGCTCCCCTGGTGTCTTACTGCAGGTTGCCAGATCCAGAGTGTAAAGGCCCGGTTCAGCTCATTACATGGGGGCGAGGATACGCTGCTGTTTCTACCGCCAACAGGCCGGTTTGGGTTCCTGCTCGCTGTGTTCGCCCCTGGAAAAATGGCGTGGCACCAAGGCCTCCAGAATCCCATCCCCGAGTTCACCCTCCAGATAGCAGACGGACCCGAAGCCCAGAAGAGGGGGAGAGGAAAGAACGACCCAGTGACATGGGGAATGATCAAGTCATTGGCTCAACAAGCTGAGGGCCTCCTGGAGAAGACCAACCAACCGAAGACACCTGAGAATTTTCTTATGGCTACTTTTTCATGTTTGAAAGCTAATTCAATTACTGTTCTCATGCTTTGTGCGATATTCATGCTTATGGGGGCCCCAACACAGGCCATGGATCTAGACGGCCGCTTACAATACAACCTCTGGGTCCAATTAGCAAACATAACAGGCCAAGTAGATTTCTGCTTGGCTGAAACCCCTGACATACACGGCCTACTGAGCACTTGTTTAATTCCGGTCTGCAAGGACCAAAGAGACATAGGGGACATTACCGGTATGGCAGCTTTCAGAGACATCAAAGGAAAAGCACCAGAAATTAAATATAGTTCCATGGCTCACTGGGGAACCCCTACATATTAGGCCTGGGTAACAACGGAAAAATTTGTTTCTAAAATCGATTTGTATTTGGGGGGTTTTTTTTTGTTTCGATATTTAAAATAATTACAAAATTTTCCTTTTAAAAAGTTCGATATTTATGAAATTTCGTAAATGGTAAAAAATTAACGAATCGATTTCCGAAACAATAACGAATCGATTCGTTAATGGCGGACACGACCACGAAATACGCTAAAAAACCTCCAAAACCTTCTGAAGCTTCCCTCTCCCTCTGTTGTTGACTGTTGGTGTGATATTATAATTTTTTTTCACTAATTAAACCATAAAACTGGCCCAGACA